CTGGTGTCCCTGTCTGTTATTCTGCACTATGGATGGCGGTAAAGGACAGAAAACCTGGAAGGACACCAAATAATTGTGACAGGCAAAACCTGAAACAGAGAAGAGGGAAGTGAATGTTTAAAAATGGGAAAGGAGGACCCTTGCAGGGAACACTGAGCAGAGCCCCCTGGCAGATCCCACCACCACAGTATGGGTGCAGGGAGGTAATGGATACCCAGGGGTCTGCCTGGCACTGTGAGCAGAGGGAGAGGAGAGGTAGCCCTGCCACTATCAGGAACCTCCTTGTCCAGCTCCCTTTTCCTCTGGAAGTGGGAGCCTGTGTGACCAGGGGCAGGAGGAGGTTGGTGAGAAGGTCCTGCAGTGTGGTGGAACCTTGAATGGAGGGAGGTAGGTTCAAAGTGCATCCAGAGCCTCAGCAGCTTTGGAAGAACTGAGAAAAGTTACTTGTACACCAGGATCTGCTGCTTGCCACAGAAAGATGGGGAGGGAGGAATCCCATGGAGGTGCCTCTGCATCCTGCTGTAGGGAGGATTTTGCAGCTAGGTCCCTGTGGCCACAGGGTCAGCTCTGACAATGCTGCAGCCCCCTGCCTCTTAATGTTGGGGTGGTAGGCAAGGGTGGGGCATGGAAAGGGTGAGATGAACATGGAAATGTTTAAATGCAGCATGGCTTGGGCAGACTAGTTTGATGTGAAATTAGCTGAAGTGTAGTGTGGGGTTAATCTGGGAGCTCAGATCTTATGGAGCCGGCGAAGGCTGCTCTGCTGCAGGACTCACCCCAGATGGGAGAAGATTCAAGGTGGGCTTGCCTCCAAGAATGAGTGGTGGGAAATGCTGCTGGTGGCTCAAGTGGCCATCTCTGCTCACTGCCAGGAAGCTGCTTGTTCTGCGAGGAAGCTGCTTTGAATAGCTGATAATCTTGCAGGGATGGAGAATAAAAGAGGAGAGACCAGTTAACTCTGCCTGGTACAGGAATGCAGCAGATAACATTATGCTGTTCTTCTAAATAGGTGCTTGGGAGCTGCTCATGTACAGCCCTGTAGAGAAGTGTTTTGCCCAGCCCAGCTCTTCCCGGCTTATCTATCTGGGCTGCTGCCCAGCTCTCCCTGTGTCCCACCATAGCTGTGTTCGGAAGAGGCATCTGGCACTTTTGCACTGCAGATGTTTCGTGGTGCTTCGGGCCACACCACAGCTCCTTCTGGGAGCAGGAGGTATATCAGAAACTGTTGTCATCTTGCACTTGTAAGCTGAGGAGACCCTCATCTCCCACACAGCGTTCACAGAGCTGCCTTCTCTGACACCTGTGTAAGGAGGCAAGCCCAGCTTTTTGATAGCTGCACCACAACAGATTCTGTGAGCCCTGGATGGGAGATGCTGTAAAACCCATGCTTCTTCCCCTTACCTGGCCATGAGTGCTTTTCACCCAGCTCTGCCTTTGTTGTGGTGCTTTCTGCTCTTCTTGTTAAGAGGAAGGAGCAGAAATGCCTCTCATCCCTCTGACCATTCCCCCTGCTCCACATTCAGCCCTAGAGAGTGGACATGGTATGCAGTCATACTTGTATCCCAGGAACAAATAAGGCATTGTGTCTAGCAGAACAAAGAGTGGGGGGCGGTCAGGATGGTTGAAGTACCAGATCAGGAGTGAATAAACCAACCCCTTCCTTCCAGGAAGGTAGAGGGAGGAGAAGTGACTGGAAAACCTGCTGCTTGAAGAAAAAAACAAGGAAGAGACTTGTAGCTGTAGACAGACGCCCCTTCTGCCCTGCCGTGCAAGTACAGGAGCTGAGCAAAAGAGGCTGGGCCAGGACTGCTGATGGAAAAGGGTTACCAGTGGCCTCTGACTCATTCCTACATTGTCCTGACAGTAGTGGAAGGGCAGATCTGGGCAACCTGCATGAAGGCAGACTGCACTGGGGACCAGCTTGGGGATAAGTGTCTTTGGAGTCCTTTTAGTACCTATAGACCCACCTATGCATTCAGTATTTGGCCTGCATTTAGAGATAACACAGCATTTGGTGTGTTGAGAGCTCTGATGGAGAACTTCTAGGAATGGTGACCTCTTTCCTCTGCAAGGATCTTCTTGTAGGTGCCATAGCTTGCACTGTCTAACAGCTGAGATCTGTCAGACCCCTGTCCGTGCTGTTCTCATTAACAGCCTGTTGGAAGATTGTCTCTTGCTGAGGAACCACATCTTGTCCTCTGCACGGCTTGTAGCAGGCAGGCTGTACACACAGGGGTTTATTTTACTTAAAAGATGTGAACTTTTTCAATTGTAAATCATAAGGTTTCAGTATGGTTTGGTGGCACTGTGCCCTTTATTTTCTCCAGTTCAGCCTTCTGTTCAGAGCAGGACTGCTAGGAATATTAGATCAAGGAGGGTATGGCTTTGACTAATCAAGTCATGAAAGGATTTTGAGGGACAGAGACCTATCACCACTTGAGCAACCTCTAGGGCAGAACACTCCTACGCACTCCTTCCAAACAAGTTTTTCCTAATGTCCATGCATCTGCTTTATTTGGGATTAGCGTCTCCCACTGTACCAGACACAGTCTGCTGATGCTGCACATATTCAGGCTGTTTTTCACCATATTTTATTGAAGAGTTTTTCTTTTTTTTCTTTTAATGCCGAGCTTTCTGCTGTGCCTGCAATTGTGTCAAGAGGGACACTGTTCCGCTGGGATTTGCCAATTTTGTGATATTCCCAGTCATATCTTGCCCTGTTGTCTGAATTGTAGGTGCTTTGAAGTCCATTCCTGTGGCACCTGAACCTTCATTCTACAAATTGAAATAGGAGAGAAATTGAATTTTAATTCTACAAATTGAAATAGGTGCTTTCCTAAGCACCATCTGAACTTGCATTTAATACCTTTTGTTTCCTTTATTCCTTATTCGCCATTAACATTTTACAGGTAGTCTGTATGGGATGTCAGTATCTTGCTGTGTGTTCCTGCTCTCTATAGGAATGATATCACAATAATGAATATCTTGCGTGTGCTTGGCAACTCCTTTCTGCAAAGAAGCCTTGAACCTCCAGACTACACACTCTCCCACCTCAAGAGCAGTTTAGCTAGAAATTCCTTGCAGCCAGGCAATTAATTTCCTTTTGGAAAGATAATATTCCTGCTCTAAGAAGGAACCACTGCATTCACCATCCACTGCAATACAGTGATTTCCCCTGACCCCCCCCCCGCCTTGTGTGAGTAAACCTAACCACTAAAGCTGTAATGAGCATGAAGTTGTTTGAGAACACTGCACCTGGGTCTGTTTGGGGAGCTAGCCAGTTGCATATAGCCTCAGCTTTTCTTCTGCCTCTGAACATGACTTCTTCCAAGATTAGCTCCCCAGGATTGCTGTTTTCTTTTTCAAATAATTTGCATTTCGTTGATTTTGTTTGGGATAGGTAGCCCTCACTGCATCAGAGAATGTTTTGCACCTAATGTTTCCTGCACAAGAAATTTAATCAGCTAAGAATATGGACAAATGCAGGGTTAATGTAGGTAAAACATGCCAAGATAAAAGTGAGCAAGAAAAATGACTGTGAAAGCAACTGGTGATCTGCCAGGGCCAATTTTTTACAGGCATGTGTATTTGCCCAAGGTGGGGTTGGCTCTGACATGTGCCAGTAGATTGGGAGGAGGCAGGCAATAGGACAGGACTTGTGCCCTAGCACTATTCACAGCCCAAATCTTCCAGTGCAATGTGGAATTTGAGCTTTGTGGTTCTTTGTGTTGCTGGGTGCTTGTAAAGCTCCAGTTCTACTGCCCAGGATCAAGCAATACAGATTCCTAGGATTTAATAGTCATCCCAGAAGGATGCAATACCATGCCATCAAGGACATTCTGCTTTATAATTGGTCAGACCTCTGCTTGTCAGGTGATGATAAACTTGGCTTCCTGCCACTGAGTGCATGATTCCCTTCAATGACTTACCCACGTGAGTGAGCAGCCTAAGTCTTGCTGTAGCTCAAAAGCTGGTTGGGTTCCCCTCTCAAACTGGAGTATCATTGATCCAGTATCACTGATAATACTGTTCAACAAATGCACATCAAACAGATTGATATGGGGCAAAACCAAGCCCTCTCCCAGTCTTTGCCCATACTCCCGGCTGATTGTGTGGGGCTCTCTTTCACCCATAAACTTCTTTCCTGATCTGCACTTATTCTCCTTTGGGCAGTAGCATCTTCTCACCATTCCTGCCATGTGCCTTTTACTGTCTAGGTCTTGTGGAAAGAGCAGGAGTTAAATAGTCTGAATTGCCTTTTCTGACCAACACTGGTAGTTTCTTATTTGACATCAGTGCCATTAAGCTTCACGGCTCTCTGTGGGAAGGGATTCTTTTTTTTAGTGTCCTTTATGTATATCGTTTAAACACCATTTTAAATGATGTCTGTCAGAGGCTGTGGCGCAGTTATAAACCAGCCATGCAGAATGTCATTGTCAGTGGGAAAAAAACCAACAGGTGACTGTAACTATTCCTACGATCTGTCAAACCTCTTTTTCCCTTCACGTGAGCAAAATTTAGGCTCATTTTTTTTGTTCTAAACCACCTGAGGGCTAAACAAAGCATGCATCCAGACTGACTTGTTCACTCACCATCTTTCAGGCTTTCCTCACCCAAGGTGTTGTTTCTTTCATGCTTCCTGAGCTCTGTGCTACCAGGATTCATCTCCTCTTCAACTTGCTGCCATGTGACCCTGCTCCAGTGATAGGGACTGCTGGTGCATGCACAGCCCAGCTGGCTGGTGATAGAAGGAGCTGTCTTTTCTCCCCTGCACTCTCCTCTCTCCATCAGAGATGTGCAATGGGTGCAGAGACAGGTCATGCCCAAGGAGTGAAGACCAGTAGAGAAAAATGTGGCTGTCAGTTGCTGGCTGAAGGTTGGTGTGAGGAGCCCAAACGGGGAGGGTGAGCCTGTGCTGGGGAGAGGGGAGTGGGAGTCCGCAAGCCTTGATGGGACTGCTGGTCCTTATATCAAGGAGCATTGTGTTTCTCCCTTTGCAGATGTCGTGGCACCCACAGTACCGCAGTTCCAAGTTCCGCCATGTGTATGGCAAGGCTGCCAGCAAGGAGAAGTGCTACGACTGCGTGCCCATCACCCGTAACGTCCATGACAACCACTTCTGCGCTGTGAACCCCCACTTTATTGCAGTGGTGACTGAGTGTGCAGGTGGGGGGGCCTTCCTCGTCATTCCCATCCACCAGGTAAGCTCAGCTGAGGTGAGCTGCCTTCCGTGAGTCTGTTGAGAGGCTGGAGGAGAGCCACGCTTTCTAGGGAGCTGGATCACATGGAGAATATTCAGTTAGTGCTGTTGCCCGAGTTGCAAAATGATGGAAAGGGCCTCAGGTGCCCTAACAGGTGATTCCTGGGAAGTGTGTACTTAGATATCTTATGTTGCTACTTGCAGTTTTTTAACACCTTCCTTCATGTCATATATCATTTGCCTTTCTTGTGTAATCAGCAGGAACTGTGATGTTCAGATGTTTGTCTCCTAGGAGAAATTGCAAATAAAGAAGCAGTTAGTAGATACAGAGGGCAAAACCTGAAAGGTGCTTTAGTGGCATGGCTTCAGCTGTGACCAAAGGAGAATATGGTATGTTTTGCTCTTCCTTCTCCTTTGTGAAGGAATGGACACATAGTTATCAAGCAATAAAGCTCTTAAGCTTCAACCACTGATGCCAGAAAAGCTTCCCTTTCAGAAACAAATCCCATGTTTATGGGTTTTGATGACTTTGGGATCTGATGAGAGAGAGAAGCTGTCTGTCTGATGTTTATTGCTTCAGAAAAAATTAGGCATGCATAATGTGGATTAAATTCAGTATGAGATTATGAGCTTTCTGGAATCAGGACAGAGCAGATGAAAGGCAAAGGTTCAGCCTTTAATTAAAAGTTAATTGATGGTGTTATTGCAATGCCACTTTTTCAATGTATATTTGCTAAGGATGAAAGTGAACTGGCTATGCTTGAAGAACCTAGCACAGTTCCCGGCCTTTCTAGACTTTGTTTATTCAGCTCATTCACTGCTGGTGCTGTTCAGAGACAGTCCTTCTAAACTTAACCACTACCCTGTTTTTCTTGACTGAGTCAGTTCTGCCCCCTCGACCATGATCTGTTGAGGCTGAAGAACTTGTCTTTATCACAGAACTGCATCTATAAGCAGGCAGCTGGTGACTGTGGGATGTGGGGTGGGACCCAGCTCTTAAAGTGTTGGCAAAACGAGCTGAAGGTGCTTGCACTGCTTACTATTAATTCTTTTGTCTTCTCACCTCTTCTCAGCTCGGCTAGTCTTTTGTATCAATTCTTCCATTCTTAACACTCGCTCAGATATTCCACCCAGATCCGAAATACTGCTTGCAGAAGTCAGAGGCATGATGGAACTAGAAGATACAGAAAAGCAAAATTAAAGTACTTCAATGCAAATGTGAAATTTCATACGAGGAAAGACTTTGTGGGTTAGGCCTCAATCAGTCTGGGGAAAAAAGACAAATGAGCAAGATATATAAAACTGTGAAGAGGGCGAGGAAGAAGTGTAAGGAGCAATTCTTCTTGATTTGTGTGGTGGAGGGGATCCTGGAGACCAGGGAGCAGACTGTTAGTAGCAGATGTGAATGCTTCTGCAGTCCAGATGTGGAGGTCACTGGTCCATGTGCTGATGAGCCCAGAAAAATTAAGGGGTTCAAACAGGATGGAATTATGGAGAGGAGTTGGTCTACGAACTGTATTTGTTCAGATGCAGGTCCCGTAGTTCAGGAAGTCCCTTGAGGGTTTACCTTTGGTGGTGGATCAGGGAAAGGATCTGTACATGCTGTGCGTCATACAGCTGTTCTTCGAATACCTGTTCCTGACCCATGCTGGGGGGGAAGAGCACCCTCTGCCACCCACAGAAAGGGATTCCCTGAGTCTGGGGGCTGCGATGCCAGTTACTTTTTTTCATGATACAGTTCCAAATTGATGCCACCTGGTGAAAAGCAGCAGGTGGGTATATTTGTGGCTGCCACCTCCTCCTCTGTGTGGTGACCCATGGTAGACAGTGCAATGGTCTCTTGCCTTGTGCCCCCGGCTGCCAGGGCACCAAAGGCAGCTCAGTCTGGAGACATACGCCTAGGACAATATTGCCCTCTCATGATGGACAGCTGGCCTGTGGTTACTTTTGACTGGATTCACAGGAGCAGCCACATCCCAAGCCAGCCACAGTGTGGAGGAAAAGTCCAAGAGCCAGGATGACATGTTTAGCCAAAGCAGGAGATGGTAACCAGGACAGGGAGGGCTGCACTTTATGGGGAGGATGAACAACCTGCCTGGGAAGCTGCTCTTGTCCCTCTGCTGCTTTTTTTGAGTTCTGTGCTGCTGGAGGGGCTGCCTGACTCAGGATGTGCTCGAATCTAGGCTCAACCTCGCTCTGTTTAACCATGCCTCCTTGCTTGTTTGTTGTGCTCCTTTCCTG